CAGAGTTTAGGCCCATAACCAACAAAAAAAGAAAAGAAAAATGAATGCAAAATGTGTCTTTGTTTCTGGGAGATGCAATGATTTAGGCCCTTTCAGGTTGTTTCAAGACCGAAATGCTCACCTGCTGACCAAGTTGTAGCTTTCGTATCTTTTATATATTGTGCTTTATCTAACTTGCACAGGAAAGGGGCAGGAAGGATGCCTAAACTAAATGTAATCCCCTGCTTTTCCTTTCCACAGTTCATCATTTATTACAAATATTGTGCTTTTCCTGGAGCTAACTTAAACTGATCTTTATGAAGGCAAGCACTAACAATGGATGTTATATTGAAACCTTTCAGTGCCCTGCATGTGCTTCTCCAATAACCTAGTCTCCAGAAGAATTCTGAGTTTGTTTATTTGTTTGTGTTTTTTTTTTTGGTCATGGCTTCAGGAAGAGGGCAGGCCACAACTCAAATGGTTTCCCTTCTGTTTCCCTTCCTTTCTTCCATGCATCTGGGGAAGGCCTTTGGAGACTTGTGTGAGCAGTCGCTCTTTGCAAGACTGGTGGTATTTTAGGTTCTGATTCTGTTGGCTACTCAGCCTTCCCATCCAAAATACAAACCTATTGATGATGCTGATTAGATGAATAACTATATCTTACTTACTATATCTCTCCTCCACCACCAGCACCCCCCCCCTTCGCTTTTTATCTTGTCCCAGTCATCTAATCTGAAGGAAAACACTGGCAGCAGGATCTAAGAAACAAACATTTCTAGCATTCTAGGTTCTTGAGTTGTTGTTTTTCACCTAGGTATGGTTTTTCAGGCTGTATACCACAACACACACACACACATACACACTCACATCTGCAAGTAGTAGGCTCTCCTAATTCTTTTTCCCAATCTGTTCACCTCTCTAGCCTTAAGTGTCCCTTGCAACAAGAGAACAACCCTTTCCCCAACCCCCAAGTTGGGGAAGTCCCTGCAGCTATGACCCCCGGCTGCTAAAGAATAGAGAGCTACAGTGCTATGACCCAAACAGCTGAGATCTGGAAAAAGAAACCCCAAGAGCCAAGTAGTGGCTGTTCCTTGGCCAGTAAAATATGAATTCTATTAAGCAAAGGTTTTTGGAGTACCCATTATGGCTTTTGTAGGTGCTACAGTTAGGTCCTGGGAAAATACAAAACGAGGGGGGGTTGGGTAAGGGGTGGGAGGGGTGGGGAATGATGCTCAGCAAGGGAAGTGTGAGGAGACCCGCATAGAAGCCATTGACAACGGTTTAACACCGCGCATTTTGAGGTTCTGTTTTTTTTTTTCCAACCAAACTGAGTGATCTTTAGGGAAAGCCAAATACACAGGATGAAAACATCCTGTTTGGAGAAACTAAGTAAGTATAGAGGAGCAGCTATAGCTGGCGAGTGCATTAATCAGTCAGGCAAGGGGCTTGGAAGCCCAAGGCTTGAATTTGGTGAATTCGTGCAATTTGGAGCATTTCGACTTAGTATTGATCCCTAAACTCAATTTTGAAAACAGCCTCCACCGCAGATGTGTGGGTTGTGTTATCCCAGTATTTGCACGCATCGATTGGACTAAAATAAAATGCATCATACTCTCCGCAAAGAAAGGAAGAAGCAGGGACAGTCGCAAGAGGAATACCAGAAAGTGCATAGTTAATATGGGTCGTACGCGAATCCGCGAAACAAGTGCTTTAAACCCTGGGGGATTGCACGTAATAGCTAATTTGGTGAGAGCGAGAGTGCGCAAGCAGAGGGCCATCTTAGAAGGAAGAAAGACAGCTGAATACAGGTTTTTCTGACGGGAATTAACATTTCCTTGTATTTTGTATTAGCTAATGTCCAAACCCTCACTCACAGATGATACACCTAACCCAGGTTTTCTTCTGCTGATGCGGGCCCCGGAAGAAATTTCTTTTTCCCCTCTAGCTGCAGTGCCCAGAGTTCAGAAGCTGCAGAGAAGCGGCAGCTGCTTTTCCCCCTCGGTCCTAAATCCCAGGAAAGGCCTGCAGCTCTCCGCCTGCAGGACCTAGCAAGGCCCTCTCTTTCCAACTTCCTACAATGAAGCCTGCCCTTTATTTATTTATTTTTAAATGTATTTATGTGCCCATTTACTTCCCGGGGATCCCAGCTAGCTAGAAAGAGAACTGGAGGAGATAGGAAAAGAAGACACGAATTATTTCGTCTTGGGCTACAGAAATTGTTTTCCTTGTTAAACATCCAGGACTCAAAACTCTTTCCTCTCTGATTTCTCCTGCCTTCTGACTCCCTTTCAGGGTTCCAATGGAGAGCGTGTGTGTGTGTGTGTGTGTGTGTGTGTGTGTGTGTGTGTGTGTGTGTGTGTGTGTGTGTGTGTGTGTTTGTGAGAGAGGAGACAGAAAAAAAGAAGGAGGGAGGCAAGGAAAGAGCACTCGAAACAAAAGACAAGGAGGCCCAGGCAGGGGCCTAGAGCTCTCCCGGGAACCAGCTCTGCCTGTAGACCCCTCTGGTTCCTCCCGGCCGATAGGCATTTTGGGGGGCTCAGCAAGCCTGGTGGAATGGGCCTGAGCTCAGACTCCAAGCGATCCGAGATCTGGAGACAAAGCCCCCCGCACCCCCACCCCAGCCCAGTCCCACCCGCAGCAGCTCGGCGCGAGCTGGAGCCCAGGGATGGCTGGGCTGCGTTCCATCCGATCGTGGCGCGACCTCCTGTGGGCTGTGACCCCGGAGGGGAGCCCCGGGGCCGCACCGCCTCCCCTGGGCCCTGGCTGCCTCGAGTCTCCGCAGCCAGCCGTGCTGCCTGGCCGTACTCAGCCAGCTGCTCTTCCGGGCCCGCGAGTTCAAAACATGCTTTCTCATTAATTAAAACCTGGAAAAACCTGGACACTTTCTTCCCAGGCCGAAGCAGCACCTCCAGAGGTCCCTGCGGCACTCTCGGCCGGCGCCAGCTTCTCTGCGCAAGGCCTTGGAGGCCGAGCGGCCATTTACTGCCCTCTGATTGCGCCCCGGACCAGGTTAGCTCATAAAGCCTTTCACACTCAACAATGGGGATTTTCTCAACAATTAACAAGAAACAACATAATAAAGCCATTTACAAAGACCTTGTTATTTACTATAAATTAGGCACTCTTTAAGAGACCAGTGCGTAATTTCACACACTTTACAACTGGGGCTGCATTTTAAACACCCGGGAAAACAAGCTTGTTGCACTTTCCTGTGACTTATCTGCGGTGCACCTCTGTTTCCCCTCATCCCCAGTAGCAGCTTTGTTTGCATGGCTGCACTCCAACCTTCCAAGCCCAGGGTGCTTTTCCAGGTCACTGTCTCCTGTTTCCCATTTCCAGGTCGTCATTTCCCTTGCAGATGGCACCGAGAGAAGTTCCAAAGGGACGGAGACCTCCGTGCAAACAGAACCAAGGAAGCCCTGGCTCCATTTGGTCCTCCCACTTTTAGGAGCTGTGTGCTCTCCACACTCAGGGTCTCCACTCTTGGGCCACTTCCCAGGTGGCTTCTCAGTCATTCCGGCTCTAAGTCTCATCTCTTAGCCACTCATATCCCCAACTCTCATTTTGGAGGCTTTGGCCAGCCCTTTGCCCAATGCAAAGAGCTAAGCCATCCATCTGCCTGGAGAGAAGAGAGGAGGCCTGGGTGACAAGGTGAGAAATAGCCAGGCAGCAGTATAGGGATGGGCAATGACTTCAAGACACACAAAAGGAGTGCAAATTGAGAGGAGGCAGTCCAGCAGTCCCCAAGGGCTGGCCCAGAGGGAGGAGGCCTAGGCTGGCCAGGCACCCTGCTGCCCTCTGCTCCCAGCCTCCAGGCCGTGTGGACCAAGAGGCTGCTGCAGATGAGCTGAGGTGCAGGCTCTTCAAAGTGGAAGCTGGGGATGGACACGAAATTGTCACATGTTCTAAGGACTAGAAGATCGGGAGGGGGAGGGGGGAACAAGTCACAAAGAAATTTGTTTGCCACCATGCAAAATGGCGGCACTTAAACATCTTTCTGCTGGTGGCCAGAGAGTTCAAAAGTGCCTTGGGTCACTGCAGGCCTAGCCTCACCCCAGCTGGATGGTTGGGGAGCAAGCCAGGGAGAAAAGGACCCTGAATCCCTCTTGTCCCCCAGGCTAGCTCTTTGCCTGCAGCCTTTGGCCTGCTTACTTGTCCCCTGCCTTCCCTCCCAGGCCGTTAGGCCCAGAGCCCGCGCCAGCAGCCCCTGGCCACTGACCCCTGTTTACAAACACAGCTCGGGGGCGGGGTGGGCCGGCCAGAGCGCAGGCTGGCGGGGTGGGGGGGGACCCGGTGCGCCTCGGAGGACGCCACCAGCAGAGAGGAACGAGGACTTGGTGCGAGAGAGCGAGGCCGGCAGCTGGAAAGGACTGAACGCCTTGTTTTTGAAACTGTCAATTCCCTCAACCCCTATTGTGAGGGCTTCATGCAAAACATCTCAGGCCTTTTAAAGTAGGAGCTTGTGAGGCCGCCACAGTTTGAAAAGGAGTGAGCGAGTAGCGGGGGCCTAGGGTATGGGCAAAGAATGATAGCTGCCCCCCTTTCTTTCTCTCCCCCCCCCCCTTTCTTTCTTTCTTTTTTTTTAAGCAAAAGAGGGCCTGCCAAACAGGTAAAAATGCAGCCCTCCCCCAATCCTTGGATCTGTCCTAGGTCCCCAACCCCCAAGCTAGTTTGCAAAATGCCCTTTGGCCTAGGGAGCAAACTAAAACCAAAGCTAACATTAAAAATACTTCTTCCTTGGAGACAAGGGGGAGATGCTGGGGGTGACTGCACTGACAAGGGAGTACTCCCTAAGGTGGGTACCCAGTTAGTTCTTTCTTGCCAATTCCCAGAGGTTAGTTGATAGTGAGCCTTTAATTCCACCCCTCCCCTCCCCAACATACACACAGAATTCTAGTTGGGCTCTGGGAAATCCCTCTTTTCACATCCTTTATAACAGGAAGTTGTTTTCAAGGTGAAGCAAAACTCTCCACATTTTCTTTCTTTTTTAGATGCTATCACTTTATTCTTTAAGAAAAAAAATTATCATAGAGGATTCTTGGTTTTATTTTCTTTGAAAGAAAAAAAATGCTTTTGAGGAATTAGTTTCTTCTACATCTCTTCCTGCATGCAAACAAAAGTATCATTCTCATATCAGCAGAAAGTCCCCACCCAATTCTTGTTGGCTAAAACTTTTGAGGAATTTCTAAACCATTGAAAGTCACCCAGACACGAATAAGATAAAAATCCACACACCAGCCCATCTACTTTGTATTATTGCTGTTTAGTGGTGGCTCCTTGTTGTTGATTTTCAAATAAACAACCATTATTGAGATTACTTCACTGTAACCAAGTAAGCCAGTAGAAAGGAACACCCACTGTAAAAAGTAAATAGTGTGTGTGGAGGGGGGGAGGAGGAGGGAGCAAGCTGCCTTTTCTCTAAAGACAGATAACCTGACTATGGAAGAAGAGAGTGCATGCATCTCTTAAAAAAATAATTAAATCTTCAGTTCACAGTCTTATCAGGAAATTACTTTTATAGAAGACCAAAAATGAGTTTGTTTCACCAGAAACTCAGAGAAAGAGGCTTTCCTCATGTCTGTGAATATTGAGCTAATTTAGACACAGGAATCAGTAACCCTGGAGCCATAGAGTGCTTTAAAAAAAAATCTATTCCCTGAAAACATTTAGATGTAAAAATGCAATCTATCAACGGAGGTAACTTTTGTTTCTTCCTCAATAAGGCTTACTTAACATTTGAACAAATGGGACATTTATAGCAGCTTAGGAAAATGTAGATATTGTCATTAATCATAAAACTGAAATAAAATAAAGTTTACTGAGAATAATTCCCATAGCAGGATGGAAAAACAGCTATGGGAGTACCAGGAATTAAAAGAATACCTTGCACATACAAGTCCCTGCATACTATTTGGTATACTTTCCTGACAGAAGCCCCAACTCAGGTTTTGCTGTAGCTGGCTGGCTTCTGGTAGTACTGTGGGATGAAATTTGTGTTGACTATTGAATTTTTTTCCTTTTGATGCCATCACTCTGGAATGCCTCGGCCTCCATACTGCTCATTCTCCAGCTCCTATAAACTGAAACTATTGATTCTCTGAGGGCTGGAGACCAAGTGTCAAAGCTGAAGGCCGATATTTTATGTCAGACACTCCATAGGGTATATTTGTTTTAATTTGTACTTATTCCAAATTACAACCCCACCCCACCCCCAATATCTGTAGTTTTCAAATATATTCTCAATTTATAGTTCAGGGACAATGAGTTCATCACTAACAAGGAAAGCACTGGTCTAAATATAGTAGTCCTCGTACTCTGAACTTTTACGACTTATCAGTGATTAGAGTAGAAATTACTGATGCCCACTCTGTGTGTCACGCTTTTTTATAGATTGGTTTTCCAGGACAACTCACTATACCTAAATTGTGTATTGCCTTCAAAAGAGGAAAGATCTCAGACTAAAAAGCCAGTCATTTAGCTTTCTGAGATTTTAAACTGAAACATGGACTGGTCTTTGGAATTGTATACAAGCATGAATTCAAGGATGATGTCCCCCAAATTTTTGCTTTGACCATATCTACCATTCCAATATAAAATGATCCAGTGACCCTACATCTGGCAACATTCAAGAAGGAAAGGAAGGGAGGCAGTTCAAAACATCTGTTTACTCCATCCAAGTATATCTGGATGCAGGTATACTGGGCCTCTGTCCTTTAAAACAAGAGGAAAACCACAGAGCATATACAGCAATTAGAGCTGAGACCATCCAGATCTTTCTGCAGCATTTATAGACAAAAGGAAATTTTCAAAGGCTGCAGGAATTAAAAGGTTAAGAGGGAATATAGGCTGAATTTCCATGAGAAATAGTGACTTAATCACATCTCAGTGGTGCCTTGTTTTGCTTTGTGATTTATGATCTATAGATGCAACTTCTTAGATTCAAGATGGCAAAGATCTGAGATACATAATTGGTGGCCCCAAAATTGTTAAGATTCAACTTTCAATTAAAACAACAACAAGAGCAACTTATCTCTGTCTGCTTCACTTTCATAAATCTGAACCTTGTAGAATTTGATTTGTAACAAAGTTTATAAAGTTTTCTTGTTATCTGGGGGCAAAAAAAAAAAAAATGTACCAGGGACATGGATAGAACCTGACTGGCTCTAGTTGCAAAGTATTGCAACAAAACACTAGACCCAATAAATGCATGTCTTTTAGGCAAAACCATTACAAGTGAAAATGTCAACAAAACCATTCATTCCTGTTAACCGTCCTTGAATCTGGAATAAGTAGAAATGTATGGAACCAGGAATTTTAAACAGTGTTTTTTAATTGAAAATAAAGCTAAAGCATGCTTTTCAACAGTGCAAATTTCCATAATTTTGATTTACTGCTCTCATCATCACAACACAGTATACCAGCATGGCCCTTACCAAGGGCTAGACCCTAGCCATTTGCATGTTGAACTACTTTGATTTTAAGTGCAAATATAGATAGTCACCTCTGATTGTCACTTGCAGTAGAAACTCTCCTGCTCTATGCACAGGATGGTCTGAAAACAGAAGTTTGAGAGAGATGCAGAAAAAAAGAATAAGATAATAGAATCCAAGTGCCTGAGTTCTGGTACCAGAAAAGCCCTGAAATAACTGATTTTTGTTGTTGTTGTTTTTTAATTTGGGGTATTACAACTCTAACTCTTCTTTTTCTTATTTGTATTTACGGCTTTGTCATTATGAAGAGTTAGACCATAAAATATCCTGCTATTAGGAGAGATATTTTCATTGTTTTGAAAGTTGGAAGAGTCATGTTTAGATCACAAGATGGACAGGAAACAAAGTAACAGTCATCTTATTTAAAATGTTTGGGTGAGAACACAAAAAGGACTTTTCCAATTGCAAGGAGTGGCTGTAAGAGTAAAAGCACATCCTTAAAAAAATACAATGCCACATTTCTCTTACTTATTATATATGAGGCAGTTTTTTAAAAAAAAATCAGCATTCAATCAAGATTCATACTCCATCTTTTCATTCAAAAAAAAAAAGCCAACAAAAATAAAACAAACCCACATAACAACAAAAAGTTAAGTGCAACTACTCTTGGAGAGGGAATGAGAGGAGTAAAAAGAAAAAGACACCCCACAAACAAGAGCTCCTGAAAACTACATTTTGGGCTCACAGAAACTTCTTGCTACCTCACTGTGTAACCATGTAACCTAACAAACTTTCACTGAATTAACAGTTACACTTCCAGGTCTGAAATCTAGTGCATAAACTTAATGGCTCATTGTAATATTTATTATTCAACCTTTTGACATTTATTTGTAGCAGTTGAATTGAGGTACCGGTGCATTATTAGCATTGAAACAGTAAAGTGTTCCAGCTCTACCATAATAACTGAGTTTTACTTGAGTCTTTAGCCTGAAGTAGTCTGTGGTATGTAAACCAACCCTTCTCCCACCCCACCCCCACCCTACTCCAAAAAAAAAAAAAAACCGCAATGGAAAAAAAAAAAAAGTAATCCGATTTCTGTCTTCAAAATGCGATAAACCAGGACTCCAAAGGGGGTGTAACACCATTAATGGACTTGTACAAACCATCCTGTGCAGTTTACAACAAAAGGAAGGTAATATGGTTCAAGAAAATATCTTCCAAAACATCTTTATGAATTAAATTTCCTGAATTTGTGACTAGGTGGAAGAGGTATTGCAGAACCGCCCAGCTGCCATTTCCATATAGGATGGGCCTTGTGAGGAGTTTGGGAATCCTTAGTGGTGTTTAAGGAATATGCAGGCCACAAATCCCCATCCTTCCCAATAATGAGTGATGGTGGACAAGGAAAATTTGCCATGAAATTAAATGGCCTTTTCACTGCGGATGCTACATTGCTGGCTACCTTTTTGCGTCTGTTTATAACTGTAAAGTCATCCAGTGTTCCTTCGTGTGTCTCAGTTTTACCTGTAGGACGAGGGCTTCTAGCTGATTTCAAATTTGGTTTGACTGGAGGAGTCTGAAGGACAGGTCGTTTTCCCAGTACTAGTGTCCGGTAATTTTTTCTCACCCTGGCACCAAATTTATATTCCCCATCCTCAGGTTTTGGAGAACCTAAAGTGCATGAAAGGCCCTGACTTTGAGCCAGTGGATTCAAGGAAGGAGTTTCTTTCTCAGGGCATGCAAAACCTTCCTTGGCTGTGGTTAACAAGGCGTCCTCCTCTTTATTTTCAGTCACACTGTAAAATTCACCCTTTGTATCATTGCACTCGCACTTTAGCTTATTTGTGATAAGATCAGGTTCATATTCTTCATTAGCACTACTGTCTTCTACTTTGATTTTAATATTGTGCAGAAATGGCAATGTCTTGTCGCCCGTGTCAGAGCAGGGGGTCTCTGCTTTAGCAGCAGCAGCAGCTGCTGCTGCTACTGCTGCTGTTCCTACTGCTGCCTCCACTTCGGGATCAGGTTGAGAAGAGGGCAAACCCGTAGCAAATGCGGGACAATGAGGGAGTTTGGAATCTTTTTCTGAATTTGCTGCTGCTCGTGAAGAATCCTGACTTAAGAACCTAGCAGCTATTGTGCTGTTATCTGCACAGTGTGTAGTAGGAGTTGCTGGTAGGCATTTCCTAGCCTCTCGGAGTATTCTTTGTTGTGGAAATGCATTGTTTGTCTTTGGGCTAGGTGAAGAGGCCCCCTCTGCCAGGCAGTTAATGGTCAGGTCAGTTCTCTTTACAGTACTGGAAATTTCAGAGTGTGGGAATGTAATCTCAGATACCCTATCGTTCCTTATCTCTGGGAAACAAGTCCCCAGGCTGGCCGGGCAGTACACCGGAGACGCTTTGGGGGTCCAGCTCTGCAGATTCCACTCTTCTGGCGACTCGGCTTTGACACCACTCTGGAGGTCGGGAAGTCTGCCGGCATCCTCGAAAGCAGCGGGTTTGGTTGCAGCGGCGGCGGAGGCCAGATGGTACAAGAAGTTGGCCTGCGCCTGCACGCTGGGAGGCTTGCAGAAACTGGTGCGCCTGAAGCGGATGCTCTGCACTGACACTTGGCTGGAGCCGGAGCTGGAGTCTGACTCGGTGGACGAGTCCTCCTCCTCCTCCTCCTCCTCTTCCTCCTCCTCCTCTGAGCTGACTTCACTGGAATCAGAGGCCCCGCTGCCCCCCTCTTCCTCCTCCTCCTCCTCCTCTTCCTCTTCCTCCTCCTCTCCTTCCTCCTCCTCCTCCTCCTCTGAGGACACAGAGTTGCTGGAGCTGGAGACACTGGAGCCAAAATCCGAGTCGTTGGCTGCGTGGTCCGAGTAGGAGCTGGACTCGGAGTCGCTGCTGCAGCTCTCGGGAAAGCTGCCCAGAGGGGGCTGCGGCCGGTGGTGGTGAGGGGGGTGGTGATGCGGCGGCGGCGGCGGCTGGGCCCGGTGATGGTGGTGGTGGTGATGATGGTGGTGGTGGTGGTGGTGGTGGTGGGGAGGCGGGCAGAAGCCGTTCACCAGATGGAACCTCTCCAGGCACGTAGCCCCCGCGGCCGCCGCCGCCGCGGCCGCCGCCGCCGCCGCCGCCGCCTTGGCTTTGTAGGACCTGGGCAGCAGCAGCAGGCGCCGGGCGCCGGCGTGGGGAGCGAGCAGGCAGTCCTTGGCGCCCCCGCGCTTGCGCTTGCAGCGGTAGGTCAGGCTCACCGGACCCCCGGCGCCCGCCGCCGCCGCCGCCGCCGCCGCCGCCGCCGCCGCCGCCTTGGGCTGGGGCCCTGCCGCCGAGGCTTGGTAGTAGGCGGCGGCGGCGGCGGCGGCGGCGGCGGCGGCAGCGGCGGCGGCGGCGGCGGCGGCGGCGGCGGCCGGGTTCTTGCTGCACAACAGGCTCCGAAAATAGGCAGGGTCCGAGTGGAAGGCGACGTAGTTTCCCTGGAGCGGGGCAGTTTCATAGTTTAGAGGGGGTTTGCAAGGCGATCGCACGATTTCCGGGTAGTGAGAGCCCGGGTATTTGCTAAAAATCTGAGGTAGATGGGCGGCGGGGCGCGCGGCGGCGGCGGCGGCGGCGGCGGCGGCGGCGGCGCCCGGGCGCGGGGACTGCGCGCTGATTGGCAGGGGCCGCGCGGCTCCGCTCAGGCCCCGCCAAAGTTGGTGCTCGTCCTTCCAAAAACCCGCGCGGGGGCTGGCGGCGGCGGCGGCGGCGGCGGCGCGCTCTGGCGGCGGCGCCTTTGTGGCCAGGGCCCGGCCGACCCTTCTGCGCTTGGTCTTGAGGACTCGCTCGGTTTTACACGAGGTATACAGAGCTTCCACGTCTTCCCGGGAGATGAGCGTGCATTTGGCGGCGTGGAAGGCGATGCTGTTGATGGCCTTGAGTTTCCGCAACTCCTCCAGATCGCAGTGGTGCTTTTTCACTTTCAGATGATCCATGCGCTTGTGCACGGTGGTCCTCGGGATGTTTTTCAGCAGATCTGTGAAGACTTGGGAGAGGGCAAACATTTGCTTTCCTTTAATAATGAGGTAGCCGAGCCGCACGCCATCCACCTCTTCAAAACCTGACTTCAGGTCTCCCATCTCGGGCACTAAATGATCCCCACCATTTGCAGTAAATATATACGTGACGCGCACATACACATGTATGTATGTTAATCCTCCGCCAGATGCTGCGGGTGTCTCAAGGCATCCTGCTAATAAAATAACAAAGACTGTTATTCCCGGCGAAGGGAGTGCCAAACTCTAGGCGAAATTATTGGGGGGGTGGGGTGGGGGGGGAGGTTTAAACAAAACAAAACACACACACGCACACACACGCACACACACACACAAAACACCATGAAATTACACTGACTTGATTCTTGCTCTTTTTTTTGGTTTTCGTTTTTTTGCAAAAGAGGGAAAAAAACCATCCGGTTTCTGATCTGCCAGTGTGGTGTTGGTCTGAGTCCTCCAGGCAGATCAGTACCTGGGCCGCTCTATTCCTTCTTTCTCCATTGGAGCACTATGATAATGGAATGTGAAGGGAGAAAGAGAAAAGAAATGCAGCTGCTATTCCCGCCGCTGCTTTAGCTACAAATAAAATGACAGAGTGAAGTGAGCTCGTCCGGAGACACCTTCATCAATTAATTCCCCTAAAGCCAACGCTGATTGGACACTCCTGACAGGTGATGCAATAAAAATTGATATTCCACCCCTTCCCCCCAAAATCTCCTACTAATTAGCATACCCTTATACTGCCACCTCCCCTCCCAAAGTAAATAATACAGTCGGTATATAAATCTTTCCATTAAACTATCGGAGCTCAGAAACAGCCTGACTCACAGACTTCAAAAGAGGCAGTGTGTGTACGCTTAAAAAAAAAAAAAGCCACTGTATATTCCCCTTTAAAGAAATATTGCCTATTTTTTGCTTTATTTGCATTTTTACCAATACAGCTATTATCGTTTCAAACAAAAGCATTAAAAAAAAAACATTATCAAGTCCAAATACATATACCCCACCCCCTTTTCTTTGGAAAATGGACCTTAAGAGAAAATGTGCAGAATAGCCTGGTATTTCCCTTATGGGAGTGGGGAAGGAGACCGACTGGGAGCTCCAAAGTTACACCGCCCGATGAACCACCCCAGTACAGACTTACGTTTGGAATTTCTCTCGATTTTCCTTTTTTTTTTTTTTTTTTGTCTCCCCCCTCTGAAATGCCTTTTTACAACCAGATACAAAGTTATTTGACCAAGCAAGCAGTTCAAGGCTCCAGCTTCTAAACACTGTCACAATTCAACTGGATTTCGGTTCTCTGCTGGGGGAGTGGGGTGGGGAGGAGGTAGGTTCACGTCAGACTCATAACAAAGCATAGATAAGCCAGAAATGTGTACACTTTTCACAATTAACCAGGCTGGATTGGAGGCGGGATCTTCCTAGAGTCTCCAGAACAGCCTTCGTCAGGGTCCTGTTCACCACAGATCAGAATTCCAGGGAGCAGATTACTTTTTTTTTTTTTTTTCCTCCAGCGAAGAAAAGAAAATGTAAACCGCCCAAGGTGCTTCCAGAGGTTTTACGTAGTAACGATGAAAAGAAAGTGTTGATTATTTCAGTGGTGTATGATGGTTGGGTTGATAGTTTAGGTGAATCTTCCACAGTTGCCTTTTTCCCCCCTTCTTCTTCTTCTTCTTCCATGAAAGCCAAGTATCTACTTGGACAAAATGACTTTGGATGAATATCAATATGGTTTGACCTCTTCTTAAGTCAAATTAAGGCACAGTTTGCTGTCATTTTCACGAATATCCAAAATACTGCCAAATGAGAGCCAGTGGGAAGACCCACTTGAATTACCAAGATCCCAAGGCTGCTGTGCAGAATTCGGCAAAATCTTCTTAACTGTTCTGTGTTTGCAGCTTACAGCATAAATGTGACCCAAGCATTTATATATTTCCTTCTTCCTCCAAAAATAGATACATCCGTGTGGTTAAAGAATAAACGGATATTTCTGAGCCTGCAAGAAAAAAAAATTACAATAATTTCTTTCTTCACATTCAAAAGTTCCAACTTCCCCCTGCTCTGGTCTGGCTAGCAGGAGCAGATATAGCTACAAAAAATTACAAAAAAAATTAAAAATAGGAATCAGATGTACAAAAAGGTAGTTTCCTTGACAAGATGAAATCTCAGCCCTTAGTTCCCCGCCCCCACCCTCATCTCCTTTGTAATTTCCCAGGAATTTTGAAGAGAATTGGGAATTTCAAGAAGTACATCCGGAAATTAAGGAAGTCTATTTAAGAGAGTCTGTAACTCAGGAGGTTGGGATTTGAAAAGTCAGCCCTGGACTACTGTTGCACTCAGCACAGATGTAATCGCCGCTCTTCAACTTAATCAATGTGTGTACAAACCGCGATGTCTAGTTCTTGCCTTTGAAATCTAAGGCTAGCATTTCCATCCAAGAAATCAGAGCTACAGCAAATTACATTTTTGTCCCTTGAATGAGAGAAGGATCATTGAATGGATCTCGTGATATTTCAGGCTTTAAACGTAACCGAGAGGCAGCAATGAACAATGCCTCGTCACAGCTAATACCATCACCGAGTTGGCTTTCTTTTGCATCTGGATCTATCACACCGCGTTTTTCTCTTTCACTTTCACAGGAGGCAAAATGCACCAGGGTTATGCAGAAAGCGAAGTTCCCAGGAAAAGCAGATTCTGATGTTTGTTTTTTAAGGTAGAATGACCGGAGTCTTTCTATTGCCAACGACAATAAGGTCGTTTAAAAATTCCTCCTGATGCACTTATATACTTCCAGCCCTCTTCCTCCCACCCACCCCGCCCCTTCCCCTCCTCCCCCAGCGTTAAGATTTAGACCAAAGAGTCAAACAGCCAAGAAATACTAAACTAAAAAGAAAGAAAGAAAAAAAAGCCTTGAGAAGACATTACAAAAGATTGGCTAGAGAGTCTTTTTTTCCCCCTGGGGGGTGGGGGCGGGGTGGTCAGGTAGTTTTAGCTTTCAGATCTTTTAGGGGTCTCTCTCTCTCTTTTTCTCTCTCTCTCTCCTCCTCCTCCTCCTCCTTCTCCTCCTCCTCCACATAGCAATATGATGTAGTAACCATTTCAAATTTACCTTCTTTTCTTCTCCACCTTTAAAACACTGGCAATATAGATTTTTTTTAAACTAATGTAACGTTGAGTATTTTTTAAACAGAAGATAAAATCTTTGGATCAATTAAAGAAAAACAAAGGCCAAAGGATTTAGGAAATATGAGTGTGTTTTGTGTACCAACATGTATATACACATATATTTATACTATTTATTTAGTGTGTATGTGCATACAGGCACCTTTACACTTATACATTTTTAATACTGCTATTACATATCCTTCTTGTCTAATACATTCTTTTGTTCCTTTAACTTCCCCATCTGTCTGTGTGTGTGTGTGTGTGTGTGTGTGTGTGTGTGTGTGTGTTAAGGCTTTGGCACCGATGCTCTTGCATGTACACACACACACACACACACACACACACACACACACAGAATGTGACAGACAGCTTTCTTGTGGCCATCAGCACACGTTGCATATCCGGGGTCTTCTCCAGGCACATTGGGGGTCAATCCCGATAAAAAGATCTAGCAGAGGCCCCTGAGCGCTCACACATGAAAGGCAGGGGACTTTAAGATGGATTTGCATGCACACCGGGGATTTCGATCAATAGCTACCAACATTTATGGCTTAGATTATTAATGCGAAAGCTGGCCAAAAGAATGGGGATGAAAAATTAAAGGTGTCTGTTATCAATTATGCTTAAAGTTATGCAATAATTTACTTACTTTGCCTGGGTGTGCAGATCCAGATGTATAAAGTACTATTCTTCAAAAGCTAGGGGGTTTCTTTGATAAATTTGTTGACCATGTCAGCTGCCTCTACAAAGATGAACCCAATTCAGATGGTGGACTATATTCAAATTCTTTTTAAAGAAAAGATATATTAACTTCTATCTTTCTCAAATACATGCATGTGTGTGGATGGAGATACTCAAATTAACATTCATGTTTACATGTATCCATCTTTGATTACTGTGACTTTAGGAATAATATGTATATATATATATGATATGATATGCAATGAGTTTTTTTTTTTTAATGAAGGGTGAGCTTTCACATGGTGAAGAAATGTGAGCATTCACATGCTATCCTAAAACGTACCTTTGAAAACAAAGCTCCTTGTTGGAAGAGAATCCTCTATAGAAAATACAGACTGAAACATATTCTTTTTTTTTTAAGTATATTCATAATGTCCACTTACTTTTGCATTTATTGTAAAAAATCAACACTTTCAGTTTTTAAAGTGATGGGCTATGAAGATCTGAACATATTTGTCTTTACTTATCCCATATGAATGTGCTAAATTTACCTTCAGATGTTCTATTTTGATTTATTTTCACCGTATTTTATGTTTAAATACCATAGCAATTCAGTCTGACCTCTTCCCTCTGGAGCAAAGTAATGCACACGGCATTTACAGTCTTTTAAATGGTTAGCTGGGAAATGCAATAGCAATTTGCAGGAGTAGTTTACTAATGGGGAAAGTTCTTTTGAAAACCTGAAGGAAAACCTAAGAGTACTTTTGCATTTCTACACTACAACTGTCATATAATTAAAGTATTGAAGAGCATTAAAATAATCCTTTTCTTTCCAAGCTCTCACCCATACATACATAATTTAAATGAGGATCAACCCCCACTCCCCAACACTACCTAACTTTACCATATACATTTGTTTTAGTGATTGCTAGGCACTTTTATTTCACAGTGAATTCAGACAGAAAAGAGTAAGGAATATCACAAAGGCCTACTGATTATTAGAATAAAAGAAGTCATTTATATTGCTAACCAAAGGTAACTGTAATATTTGTTACATAAAATCTAAAATAATAAGAACTTAAAGTCTCATAGGGCTGAATCAGTGGAGGAATTAGACAATAAAAGCTAAAGCCTTCCTTAGTTACTTATCACACCCCTTCTTTTGGGGAAGGGAAAATGGGACTAAAGGAAGAGAAACAACTTAAATGATAACTTACAGTCTATATATTTTTCTTTTTGTCTCATTCATATTTGAATATATGAATACATGAATATTCAATATATTCAATATATTCATATTTGAATGCATCAGGGCAAGTATCGCAGTGGACCCATCCTTCTGTTCTTAGGCATTTAAAAACCCAGTCTTTAGCACAAGTTTGAGACACAGAGTGCACGCCATGTTGTCTACTGACCCATAATCAAAATGCAATGACCTTCTACCCTTTTTTTGCCCCCTGACCCATCTTGAATTCAATGCATCCTTTATAAATTTGCAAGTCCTTGGAGGTAAAGGAGTTTTTGTGAGGCTTTGTTGTGAAAAAGCCCTAAGAGTGTGCTTTCTAAGTTAGACAAAGGTAAAGCAGGAAGCCTTCCTGGATGAGATTTTATACAGGTGAGCCAAAGACAACTCTTCAGCTAGCACATATTGCAAGCTAAAAACCCGTTATAAACATGGGAGACAAGAAGGTTAGGGATTGCATCAAATTAGAGTGTGGTGCAAATCACTTTCATGATGTAAGAAATGGTTAGGCCACAATCTTCCTCCTCTTCTCATCTCAAGGGCTGTGGGGGACC